GGGGGGGGGGGGGGCGATCGCGCCCCTGCTATCCCTTCCGCGCGGCATCGTCTCCCCCACTCAGTTATGGTCGAGCCATCGTTTCTCTCGCTCGCACGGTCGCGCTTCCTCTACTCTCTCTCCCGTAGCGTCTTCCTTCTCCGTCTCGCTCGATCCCTCTCCCGCCGTCTTGCCGCCGTCTCGCTCGCACCCGCATAGCTCTTCGCTCCGCTCGTTCTTAACGTAACGTCAAACCACTTAGGGCCGCGGACCTCGGCAGTCAGTCGATCTTTCCTAGCAGCGGCATTCCGGCATTTTCCACCTGATCGCGCGCGCGGGCGGTCCGGCAAACGCCATTTTGATCGTCGTTACGTCGCCGTCGTCACCGTCACCGTCCACTCACGCGTCGAGTGAGTGAGACAGGAGTCTCGTGCGTGAAACACACGGAGCACGTTCTCGCATGTGCATCGGCCGCGCAGCGCGTCGTCTCGTGACAACATCTGACCATTGTTACAATTAAAATAAAAAAAGAAAATTACAATACAACGCGTTCTCCGTATAAACTATCGTGCCACGTACTAAACCGTGACGCGCGTTGTAAGTGCGGTGCCGGTTTGGTTTCCATTTTTTCCCTAATTTTTTTTTTTTTTTTTTTTTTTTTGTTTAATTCGTTTCTTTGCCGCGCCGAAAAAGAGGAGAGAAAGAGAGGGTGAGAGAGAGAAAGAGAGAGTACGGCGCCTCGTGCGTTAGAAGAGGAGGGGGCGACCCAGGACGGAAAAGGACGTCGGGTGTTGTTTTTCCGTCGCGCAGACACACGTCGCGGCGAGACGAGACGAGTCGCCCGCGGAGCGGAGAGAAAGAGTGCGTGACCCCCGTGTGTGTGACCACCGTCGGCGCGCAGACCAACGACGACGACGACAACGGCGACGACACTTCACGATTCTTCTGCTATATAAAAACGTTCCGCTGCTATATCCTTCCGCCTTGGGACACCGTTATCACACCGGGAAGGCACAAACGGAGCCGAACTCGTGCCGGAAACAGCGTGAGTACTTACGCAAATCTACGCAATTTGGTGTGTTGCGTTTTTTGGTGCTACTCTTCGGCGTCGTCCGCTGCCCCTCCGGCACCCCTTCCGCCTCCCCCCCTTCTCCTCCCTTGTCCTTCGTCCCCACGCGCGACGCTCGCACGCACGCTCGCTCACATTAAATCTTGTTTTTTTCCGCCTGCAAGGCACATCGCCTGCCATATTTGACCGGCGTCTCTCTCTCTCTCTCTCTCCCTCTCCCATTTCATCTTTGTGTCTTTGTCCTCCTTTTCTCCCCTTGTATTCCTCTTTCATTCTTCCATAAAACTATCTCTCTTTCGCTCACTACATCAGTTTCCTCCCCGTTCGTATCTCCCTTCCGGCTATCCCCTCTTTTCTCCTCGACGGATGCGTGCGCGAATGCGTGTATCACGGGTATGATCGCGAAATTCGATGGCACGCCGCATCGCGTCGTGCTCGTGATATGTTGACAACGGAAGACGACGGCGAGGTAGACGATGTAGACGATGGTAGATGATGGTAGACGAATGAGCGGCCGCTGTCAAGCGTGACCGACCTCTTTCCCCTCCCTCCGTTCCATCTTCATTGACGCGCTCTCTCGCGTGTTGTTTATCCGTTTCTGCGTAATTCGTGCGTGCCGCCTGAGGCGGAGGGAAGGGAGAGAAACTCGTGGGTAGGGAGGAAGGGGGGGAAGGCACTTTGCGGAAGGGGTCGGGGGAGGGAGGGAGCGCGGAGTGGGGACGTAACGTTGAGAGAAAAATAATACGGGTCAGGACGCAACGCCGCGTGGTGCCCCCGCGGCACTAAGCGAGTGCCGCTTATACCGCGTATATACCGCGTGTGTGTGTGTGTGTGTGCGTGCGTATGTGTGCGTAGGCATGTAGCTGGCGCGTTTCTTGCGCGTTTCCCATTTCCTTTCGGGACCGAACTCCGACGAGATCCTCTTCGAGGAAAGGCGGGAGAACGTGACTGTAGATTCTTCTTTCACGCGTATGATTCTCGCGGTGTGAACTACCTTTCTCCCCGCCACCCCCTCTTTGTTATGTTTTTTTATCTTGGGGAAACTATATGATTGTTGTATCGCGCAAATGACTACTTTGCCTCGCGGAGGAACGCTTTGCTTCCGGCGTGGTGCGATCGCGCACGTGGAGTATCGGTTGACAACTATCGCAGTTATTCTAAAGCAGTGATGTTCAACCTTTTTTCGAAGATTATTTTCAGAAAGTCATTTTTAGAAATTTTAAAGTCTTTTCTTTGGAAGAACGAAAAATCGAAATGTAAATTATCAATGTCTAAGAGTACTGTGCTCCGAAAAAGCCGTGCTTCAAAATTATCATTGTCAAAGTGTTGAAAAAACTTATTTTCTATATTCTTTAGAGAATCTCATTCTAAGAAGTGAAATTGATTGAATCAGTCTTGAAAAAGCGTGACTCAGTTTTCAATATATAAAAATGAGATTTTGTTGTTCAGATTGAGATTCTAAGAGCAGGAGAGTCTTGCATAACGTATAATGCATAAGAAAATGAATCGTCAAAGTCCTTCATTTTTTTTCTTTTTTATGAAAAAAAAGATACTGATTGGTTGATTTTCTGATGTTTACGCGTATGTTTACGCAAGGATCTGTAATTTCCTAAAAATTTTTAATGAGTCATGGGCCATAATGTTCATTTTTTTGCACTGAAAAGTCTGATGACTTTAATTAGAATGTTTAATTTTGTTAAAGAGAGAGGGTGTTAAAGTCTGATGACTTTAATTAGTATGTTTAATTGTGTTAAAGAGGGATCTATTATAATTCTATTTGAGATAACCAGAATTCTAATTGATATTATCGTAATCTTTTGATTCATTTTCGATCAGAAAATTGTTCAGTTTATAACAGAAAATAATTATATTTTCGGCTGTAAGACGATGGACCGCAAAAAATTTACGGGCAAGCCGTAGGTTGCGCGTCACTGTTTTAAAACTTTTATTCTTTGAATATCTAAAGATACGGTAGCTTAATATTTAAAATATATATATATACGCGAAGCGCGACATTTTATTCATAACGCTCTCGACACTGTGACTCCCTCATTTCCCCGCAACATTAACTTTTAGTACACACGACTCGAGTCATTCGTGTTCTGCACATTTCTTTTCCTCGAAAAACTAGACATATTAAGTAATTAGTTATGAGTAATAATAATATTATAGTAATAGTGGAGAAATAGGATCATATCAGTCTCTCTCTCTATGTCTCTCTGTATGTCTGAATTTAGTCAACCTAGAAATCTTCTGTGACTCCCGCTAAGCCAGTATGAATTACGAAATTATCTGTATATATGATGCGGGGTTTGAACCCGTGACCTGTTGGTTATAAATCCGTGACTTTCATATCAAATCACACGATATTTCAATTAGTTATGACATTTGTGTGCAATTCTTTTATAATATAAAAGCAACCTTATAAATATTTTTCATAAATGTTAAATATGTAAGAAGACTTAAATAATGTTTGTATTTATTAAAGTGATGAAAATTAACGGAACACGAATAACATCATATAAAGAATCGGAAATCGTATGTACCAAGGATTTTAAGTTTTGTCGAATTCACTCGGAGGATGTTTGAACTTTCGAAACGGTAAATGATAAGATCTTGACGAGACATACGCTCTTTACGCTACTGCATCTGCCTATTCTGACAATTTAAAGACCCCGTTTGTGGAGCGGCCGGTCGGCTCGTTACGTCGATCTACAGGACGGGAAATGCAATCGAGACAAGTGCGCTCTCGAGCGGGATGAACGACTGGGGAGACGTATTATTTACAGTCAATAGTACCCGGCATCGATTAGCGCGCGGGTGTTCGACTCAGTATTTCTCCCCGTCCATATCGCAACTTCAATCTTGAAAAGGACAGCCGTTTGAATTGGTTAACTGTGAGGGCTAACAGCGAATGCAACAGGCCCTTAGGATCGATTGCGCCGTACGTTACTGACGTTACCGAGAACGCTAATCGTGAATTTTCCTAGTCTATTTATATCGGAGGTAGATTCATAGACATAAAGATAGACTTAAAATCCGCGAAATAATAAAAAATAACAAAAGAATAAGAGCATAAACATAATTAAAGTATGCGTACTTTCAAACGGCACATTATCAGTTAACGCGAATAAATATAAAATGGACAACCAGAGTCAATATTGGCAGGGTAAAATATAACATTGCGCCAGTTTTTATTTAAAATTTTAAATTCAAGCGGAATTTACACTATTATAGATTTAATCGAATTTTTTTCTAACGTATCTGGTATTTAATTATGATGGTATTTAATATCAAGTTTAAAAAGCCGACTTTGGTGTCCCTCGATTCCGCAAAGATCGAATCCCGATCTGTCTGTGTCATCAACTTTAACCATGCAAGTGAGACGCCGTGTTATTTATTTCTCGTCCCGTGTATCTTATTCTTGCGCCTCCATCGTGCCTCGATTCTCTCTAATCAGCGTTAGTTAACCAGACCCGCAGCGTGACTGATCCTCTTGGTTTGCGGACGAGACGTCTAATTTATTTGTGTACTGCGCGCTGCGCGCGTTCACGAAAATCATAACATGAAAATCGTTGTGCGCAGTTTTTCGAAACGGAGTATAATTTCTCGTCGGGTGACTCATCGCGACGCGTCGCGAATCGAGATTATAACGGAGTGGCTTTTCCACGAAATCCGCCACGCAATAAAACTGCGAGCGTCGAGTTAGCGCGACGATTATTTTTGCGACGAGGATTTTTGCTTCCGGGAAAAATGACGGCAGGCTTGCCTACTTTTTTTGTCTTGCGAGCGACGCGCAAATTGAAGTCGCAATAATATCTCGTCGTTACACTGTGTTCATACACTTGTGTTTGTCTTCTTCGTAGACGATAAACTCATCATTCTAGAATGTCTAATATTGATCCGAGAATAATTCGAAATCAGACGCAATAATATTGCATTGCAACAATATTGTTAAAAAAAAAAGATATGTAGGAAAAAAATTAATAAGGATGATCTTTTTCCAAGACGTAAGACAAGTTTCTTTCGTTTCTTCGTATTTTCTCGCTATAATTTATAGTATAAGATTACATTCGAGAATATTTAAATCTTATCTACGTAATTTTTTACAAAGGCAGGTCGCATTATCATTCAGAAAGCAAATCATGCTAGCAGTGATTTTAATTTACTATCGAGAAAAAATTTCAAATTTCTAGATTTCTTTAATAAGATTACTTTTTAAGAGACTTTCTTAAGAGAAATTCTATTTTAGGAAATTCATGAATTTCTTTACACAAATATAGAACGCGCCTTATACGATTATAATTTTTTTTTACTTCAACGGAATGAACTTCATTTCTCGCAATGATGATCTAAGACGGTGCGACTTGCACTTGAAAATTTATTTTAGTGCGATTAGCGCAGACAAGTGTCAACTGCTCTGACTAACGCAATAATTCTTTCTTTTTTTTTGTTGTTGTCTTTCTTTTGCTTTCGTAGCATCGTTTTTTGCATTACGCCGTAATGCGACATGACGATTCCTCACCGACACTGAAAATCGATTAAGCCACTTTTAATCGCTGAGGAAAAACTTTTGACCTTTTTTTTTTTCTGCACGAATTGCGTTATCGCGACGGACCTTGCGTCACGATTCCCGTTGACGCATTGTAGCTGCAAATTGTAAAACGCTTTGAAAAGCGTTGCTACTTGACGTCATCCGCGATCACCTATCTTATACGTGATTTTCTCGTCACGCGAACTGCATTGCGATTTTGTTTGTCGCATCAGAGCTGCGAATTTTTTTCCAAAAAGTAACATTGATCGAAAAGCTAATATTTCTTTTAATTATACAAACACAACACTATTGGATCTACAGCAAACTAATATTTAGAATCTATAATTTTATAGTGACGATAAAAGTATGCAAGGCCTTAAGAACATCTTTGTTGATATTACATTATAATATTAATTTTCTTTCATCTATTTGTCGCGAATTT